TTCTGTGTTCTCAGCCCCAACAGCGCTATAAGAAACTTAAATACAAAGGCGAATTTCACTTCAGTTCAAACCAATAAATACACGTGATAGATTGTGACACAAAACATTACACAACAGTATTGTACTTTTATAACAAAGACAATGGCTGATACAACTCAACAACTAATGACGTAGGTAGGTTTATCTTTACTTCTCGTGAAGGTGGCTTATTTGATTTATACATGAAGCTTGTTCAAGTTTATGATAGATAATAAATACACAATGATTTGAACTATTATTGCGTATACAACATTATACAACATAGTAGAAGTGTGGCATTATATAGTTGGAAAAATTTCGAAGTTTACGTGCAGTCACAACGTAACTGAAGAGTTTGAGTGAAATTTTTACTACATTTATAAAAATGCGATAAACTCCAATCCTCTTCACTAAAATTTTGAGAAAGATAATGTTAACAATTGCTCATTGAATAAACGCTGCACAACCTTGAGACTGAGATTGGTTACGTCTCAATTTAGTCATTGTCGCTACGTATGCTGGTCTTTTCAAAAACCATTCTTGATAATGTTTACACTTGTAGTATTAATCTGTAGTTTCATTACAAGTAAGTATTAATATTAAAATCTTACATTCAGGATGTTTTGTGCAGCAAACACTTTGAATTTAAGGATGGGTTAACTCATTTTGAATTTCTTTATAAACAATCTAGAGCAAAGCCTTGAAAACTAAATAAATAATGAGGTAACACCTAAGGACTGTAAATATATCTGAGTTATCAACCATTTGGCACAGCTGTTGACTAGTAAGTGGAGGTTTATATATATAAATCTTCACTTAATATATATATATATATATATATATATATATATATATATATATCTTCAGTCTTCAGTAATGGAGATAGTAGATCGGTAAATATGTCTTAATCCTGACAGATTGCCTTCCAGTGAAGGTCCAGCTTCTCCTTGGAAATATTCAATGATGGGGCTAATACCACTTGTTCGGGTAAGGCGTTCCAATCATCGACTACTCGATGAATAAACCGGGACAACACTTCAAGTTTATTAAATCTCGGTTTATGAACCTCGGAGATTACTAGTGCTGCATGGAGCTGGGCCCGGTACCTTACAAATTCTGGGGTTAGTTATCAATGAAAAAAGTTTTTTCAGTCACCTGTACAGATTCAACGGCTGGTATCTTAGTGTGAGTGTGACAAATATTTGTTACAATAAACGTAGAATAGACTTCGCTAAAATAGTTTGAAAAAGTCTGCTTTTGCCCGATCTGACTCAGCTAGTAAATCTGAATTTTCGTGTAGCAGTAACGGGGGAATACCATCACTACGTTTTATTCGGCGTTTAACATACGAAAACAGTCTTTTTGGACAAGTACGGCTATCATATGCCAATTGTCATTCGTAAGTAGTACGGGATGTAGCTATGGTTTTCTTACAAGTATTCCGGGATTTTCGGTACTCACGCTTAAATGATGCGTAACCTGTCAGCAAGAATAAGTCCCAGAAGTGTTTCTTACGCTATATATATATATTGCAGGGATTTAGCATCGCCGTAAGATCCTATAAACTCTTGAAATAATACTCACAACTCATTTTTGTGCTTACAAAAATCCTATTCTTAAGCGGGCGTACTATATAGTTATGCGACTTAGGGCTTTTTATGTGCGTATATTTGATTTTCCAATGAATATTGACTGCTCGTTTTCCACCACGTTCTTTAACAGTATCTCACGGCTAAAATTGTCACTGTGAATTTAGAAAGCCTTTGCACATCACATTTTGAGGTCGTGTTTGTCTGAAGACTGGTTTAAATTATTCTTACCCATCCAACACAAAAATGGAGAGATAAAGGTGATACACCTGACTATTTAATTTCCTCCCTATTTTACACTCAATTTCGTTCTTGATGAACATTTTAATTTTAAAAACAATTGATTTGGTACTTAAAATGTTATAGTTCCCTTTCACGAAAACGATAATATGTAGTCTTCCAAACACCGCTGTCACAAAAGACGTGAGTCTGATCAAACTTTGAAATTATGAACCCATTGTATGTTTACAAACAATCGATCATATGTTTTCCGGCTTCCCAGACATTCAGTAGGTAACAACGTAGAACTCCGTACGTACGTACATCAGTTCGAGTTGCCATACCACATTAGTACGGAGATGCAGTTGTCGATTCAAATACATAGCGGTAGAGGCGGTAAGAGTATAAGCATTAATCGGAAAGACTAGGGTTTGAAGATGTTATTCAAAGAGTATAATCCAGTGAAATAAATTCGGAAAGAGAAAAAAAATGAGACAAGGAGGATTCAGGAGATTAGAATTTGGGAGAACACAAAGAGTGTCTGCACCTGAGCCATTGCAAACGATTTTGAGCTATGCCATTCAGGGCCTCTAACCATCGGTTGCTATCATCTCGCGGTCTCCAACCAGGTAGTCTACACTTATCAACATGACTCAGTCCACCTGCCAGTGACTTCATGGATTTGTGCCATGTTTTGGTTTGGCTGCCTCTAGCTTTCTTCCAACCTACTCCTACACCGTAAAACATAACACGTCGAGGCAGTCGGTGGTTGGGCATACGTAACACGTGTCCCAGCCATCTCAACTAATGAAGTTTCACTACTTCATCAATTGATTTGCCATCCTTACCTAGTACCCATTTCCTAACAACTGAGTTACTTACTCGATGGTCCCAGGATATACGAGTAATATTTTGAAGACACCTATGATCAAATACTAGCAACCTACAAATATCGTCTACTCTTGACGGCCATGTTTCACTACCATAAAGTAAGACGGAACGAACTGATGCGCAGTAAACCCGTCCTTTGGTTGATAGACGGATATCTCTCCTACGCTATAAATGACGCAAGTTGGCAAAAGCTAGTCGAGCCTTCTGTATTTGTGCTGAGACTTCGTTACACACCAGACCACAAGGGCTGACGAGACTTCCAAGATAAGTGAAGCGGTCGACATGCTCAACTACTTCACTCCCTATCATTAGTTCAGGTGTCGATGCAACGCAATCCTGAAGTAACATTTTACATTTCGAAGGAGAGAATCGCATCCCGAACATGCTTGCATTGTTGCTTAGAGTGGTCAGAAGACTGCATTTTGTCAGCGTCTTCACCAAATAGAACTATGTCATCGGCATATTCCAAGTCAACTAGTGAGTCTCCTGGTAGAAGTTCAACCCCTGCAAAAATTTAGATGACGAAAGTGTCATCTCTAAAAGTACATCAATGGCAAAGTTTAACGAGAATGGAGAGAGTGGACAGTCCTAACGAACACCACTTGAGGTAATAAATCCTGATGACAGTTCGCCATAAGCTCTCACTCTACCAGTTGTGTTCGAGTAGAGAGCCTGTATAAGGTTAATGTACTTCTTTGGTACTCCTTTCAGTGACAAACACTGCCATAGAACCTCACGATCAACAGGGTCAAATGCCGCCTTAAGGTCGAGAAATACTATCATTGTGGGGTGTCTGTGTTCTAGAACCTGACGTAGTGTGAATATCTGATCTATACAACCACGTCCAGGTTGAAAACCGGCCTGGTTTTCTCTAATCGGCTCTTCATGAGCTTTGGTTAGGCGTCGAAGTATTATTGAGGCTAAAATTTTAGACACTATATTAGTCAAACTGACTCCTCTGTGATTGTCACAAGAGGACTTTTGTCCTTTCTTATAGACTGGCACAATCAGTGATTGAGACCAGTCAGACGGGATTACGTCCAGTTCCCTAAATTAACTTGCCATTCAGGTTGACTGGAGATCGTGGTGAAACCGAAGTGTGGCTGAAGGCCATTTTAACTGATCCTTAAAGTGTTCTGCCTATCGATCGATCCAATCTCCTGTATTGAGAATGTATAATATGTCCATCTTTTTCTGAGATAGTTTCGCTAACAGTTGGGTTCCTAATACCGTTTTCCTTAACAAGTCCGAACAATTGTCTGCTATTGCCTATTGCCGCTGCCTTTTCCATCTCTCTTGCTTTCGCTACCCACCACTGTTCGCGATCATTGCGTAGGCTTCTTGTCAGCTTGCGCTTAAGCTAACTCTGCTCTTCGTCATGTCCAGAGCCAGATGGGATGGGTTTTCGAACATCTATCAGTGAGGTAGATGCTGCTGAGATACATTGTTTCTCCCTTACCTTGTGGTTTACCTTACTAGTAGATATCACTGCTGTGTACACATCTTTTCGGATATCATTCCATGCTGCTTCGTGGTGGGCATCACCTACATGGCTGCCTAACTGTTTTTCTAGTTGTTTCTGAAATATACTCTTGGCTTGACTATCATTAAGTAGGTCCCTAAGAGGTTTACTTGCACCATTTTTCCTACGTCCAGTAAGACGGCTTTTAGTCATTTTTCTTATCTTGTACTACTGTATACAGGAAATTTCTTCATTTCACGGAGAACAACAATACGACCATGATTATGTTCTCTAGTACTCAAATATGAAGCTTTTATTGAATGTAATAAGTCCGTAAATTCAATTCGCTTAGTATCTATAACTCGGATGTGTCATACCATTCTGCATTACCAGTTAGATAGTGCTAAAATCGAAACACTGATATATCTAATGACGTAGTTTTTGCATATGTTAAGTATAATGTTTATGCTTCATTCTTAACATCAACTTTGATGTCAGGGAGTGAAGTAATTATACTCAATTTTTCGTTTATTCGGAGTTGTATTGGCAACTAGTAAGTAGTGACTTTTTTGCTTAATAACACTGATGTGAATCATTTTTTATGTATATAAGGTTATCTCTTGGCTGTAAATAGTTATCTTGGCTGATGGCTTTGCTCTGAATCTACAGATAGTTATTTATTCGACAATTTTGTACTATGTTACAATGATGTGATATATATCATTACAAATGTATTCTCTTTGATTACAGATCTACTTCATCCCTGTTTCTAACCAACGAATAATTATCAATTAATTTCATCGTCATCTAAGCTAATCTACATGTCTGTAATTACATGGGACCACGTTGACAATCAGCAAACGTTACTAACAGAAAAACAACTAGAGTCAGTATTTCTGCTGAATTCACTGAATTCAATACACGGAGAAGTAGGGAACAACCTTGTTAATCTAAAATCACTATAGACTACAGTAAGCAGTACTACTAGTCATACCACCTTCAATGCTAATCAGACTGACAAATACGAGTATCAAACTACCCAACATGATGTGTCTATACAATCAGCCTCACATTTCTATTCATGGCTGTGGTCTGTTGAACAAAAACTTAGTGCTGAAATACCTGAAGTACCAAGGTATAAATGAATTAAATAAAAAGTTACATAAAAAGCGAATTTTTGACTTTTTTATCTCGTAAAAAATTGGAATGTTCAAAAGTTTTAAGCATCGTTGAAGAAATTTTGTCTAAATTATCGATTTTGGAAAATAATTACTTAAGCATATCGCAGAGCACAAATGAATTACATGAGTTGTGCGAACATCTATTAAGGCAACAAGTGAGTGTTACAAGCACTACTAATACATATGTCATATTATTTGTAAACAGAATGAAATGATTGAATATGCTAGTTCAATTGAAGAATGTCTAGCCAATTTTGTTCAAGTGGATATGTTACAAGCTGTAAGTTGAGCGTATATCTATTTTTTGAACTAAAGGAACTTGGAGTTTCCAATTTCGTCGTATCTCGTGAGAAGTTGCTGCCAATTCTAAATAAACTTGATTCAAGTTTACTTTATTTCCTAGAACATGTAAGAATGCTCTTTCGAATCATTTGATGAGTTTATTTATTTATTTAGCCAAATTTCAAAGAATCTCCAAACTATTTAATCAAGGTGAAATCCTCGCTTAAAATAGCTCTTGAATACATTAAAAGTAATGTAACTAATGTCATAGAAAGAACCATAAATGAGCTTCTGGAATTGCATGTAAGTTTGATCTAAATTGCGTTCTATACGTTTCGTGGATTTACTTTCTGTAATAATAGTACAATGAATTTCGTTTACTCACAATATGTTTGCACTTCCAAATATGAGTCACACTACTTTGTATACATAGAGACTAATAGTATTATCCGGTCCTCTAAACCCTAGTTAGTCGGGCAGGATTTGTACATGCTGTTCAATAATTGTCAGTTACATCCAGGAGATTGGATCGATGGGCAGAACATTTTAGTGATCAGTTCAACTGGCCTTCAGCCACACTTCGGTTTCCCCACGATCTTTAGTCAACCTGAATAGCAAGTTAATGTAGGTCCTCCGTCCCTTTACGAAGTTGAAACAGCCATAGGAAATCTGAAACGAGGGAGAGCAGCAGGCCCTGACAGGTTTACTCCTGAGATTTTTAAGGATGGTGGTCCAGTATTAGCAATGCGATTAACCGAGGTCTTAGGTAGCATTTGGGAACTGGACGTAATCCCATCTGACTGGTCTCAATCACTGATTGTGCCAGTCTATAAGAAAGGACAAAAGTCCTCTTGTGACAATCACAGAGGAGTCAGTTTGACTAATATAGTGTCTAAAATTTTAGCCTCAATAATACTTCGACGCCTAACCAAAGCTCATGAAGAGCAGATTAGAGAAAACCAGGCCGGTTTTCAACCTGAACGTGGTTGTATAGATCAGATATTCACACTACGTCAGGTTCTAGAACACAGACACACACTCAGACACCCCACAATGATAGTATTTCTCGACCTTAAGGCGGCATTTGACCCTGTTGATCGTGAGGTTCTATGGCAGTGTTTGTCACTGAAAGGAGTACCAAAGAAGTACATTAACCTTATACAGGCTCTCTACTCGAACACAACTGGTAGAGTGAGAGCTTATGGCGAACTGTCATCAAGATTTATTACCTCAAGTGGTGTTCGTCAGGACTGTCCACTCTCTCCATTCTCGTTAAACTTTGCCATTGATGTACTTTTAGAGATGACACTTTCGTCATCTAAATTTTTGCAGGGGTTGAACTTCTACCAGGAGACTCACTAGTTGACTTGGAATATGCCGATGACATAGTTCTATTTGGTGAAGACGCTGACAAAATGCAGTCTTCTGACCACTCTAAGCAACAATGCAAGCATGTTCGGGATGCGATTCTCTCCTTCGAAATGTAAAATGTTACTTCAGGATTGCGTTGCATCGACACCTGAACTAATGATAGGGAGTGAAGTAGTTGAGCATGTCGACCGCTTCACTTATCTTGGAAGTCTCGTCAGCCCTTGTGGTCTGGTGTGTGACGAAGTCTCAGCACGGACACAGAAGGCTCGACTAGCTTTTGCCAACTTGCGTCATTTATAGCGTAGGAGAGATATCCGTCTATCAACCAAAGGACGGGTTTACTGCGCATCAGTTCGTTCCGTCTTACTTTATGGTAGTGAAACATGGCCGTCAAGAGTAGACGATATTTGTAGGTTGCTAGTATTTGATCATAGGTGTCTTCAAAATATTACTCGTATATCCTGGGACCATCGAGTAAGTAACTCAGTTGTTAGGAAATGGGTACTAGGTAAGGATGGCAAATCAATTGATGAAGTAGTGAAACTTCATTAGTTGAGATGGCTGGGACACGTGTTACGTATGCCCAACCACCGACTGCCTCTACGTGTTATGTTTCACGGTGTAGGAGTAGGTTGGAAGAAAGCTAGAGGCAGCCAAACCAAAACATGGCACAAATCCATGAAGTCACTGGCAGGTGGACTGAGTTATGTTGGTAAGTGTAGACTACCTGGTTGGGGACCGCGAGATGATAGCAACCGATGGTTAGAGGCCCTGAATGACATAGCTCAAAATCGTTTGCAATGGCTCAGGTGCAGACACTCTTTGTGTTCTCCCAAATTCTAATCTCCTGAATCCTCCTTGTCTCATTTTTTTTCTCTTTCCGAATTTATTTCACTGGATTATACTCTTTGAATAACATCTTCAAACCCTAGTCTTTCCGATTAATGCTTATACTCTTACCGCCTCTACCGCTATGTATTTGAATCGACAACTGCATCTCCGTACTAATGTGGTATGGCAACTCGAACTGATGTACGTACGTACGAAGTTTTACGTTGTTACAGACTGACTGAGTTGCATGTTGTAACCACCAAATAAATGCCTAATTTAGACTACGCAGTTAAAAGAATTTTGTTAAGTGGAATGAATAGATTTACTTTACTAAGCTTTTACCAGCTCTTTACTGTACAGAGGACAAGCACACTGCAAGTCTTCTGTTTTGACGTGTTGATTCCTATTTCTATAAAAAAAAACTAAAATGTAGAATATTACAAGTAGTTGGAAACAACAACATACTATCTTAGATAGAAGATAAAGAAGTTACTGTTCTCGGGTGAATAAAAAACCCGAAATAAATAAAGATTATAAAGCAATCATGCGGAATTTTAAATATACTTAAATAATAGCTGAATAAAAGAACACTGGTAATTGCCTGATAAGTAGTAATTTACTGAAAACCAATACTTATTTACGAAATTTTATTCGCAGTTATGAGCTATATTGTTCTTTGGGACATCCAGTGATTCTACCTAACCATGTGAACTAAATAAGTGGAGTTACCTTTAAGTTTGCAATTCCGTTGTTAAGATTGTAAACACTAATCTCTAATCCATCACTCCATTAATATTATTTGGTCGATAAGTTAGTGTTAAGGTTGACAAACGTTTGGATAACGGATTAGAAAAATATGTGGAATATACGTTTGAGAGAAGTTGAAAGTATTTTGTCCTAATATTGTCATAGAAGACAGAGGTTATCAACTGCCTTTTTTCTAGTCACCTTTGTTCAATGTCATTCACCACATTGGCTCCAAAAGTTGGAATATAGCTAGAGTCTTTTGTCTATTGATTTTTGTACGGCCACCTAAAAGTCAATTTGACATTCTATGATTTATTGTACCATTTAGAAGAGATTAACTACTTGAATGTAAACTTGTTGGCACCTGCATTGAAATGCGTAAAAGTAATCGTCCACTCTTCGTGAATTTGATGCCTCGAATGTGCAACAGGCAATAAATTCAGTTCAATACAACAGGACTAAACACCTTACTTAGTTTTTGCATCGTGACTAGGCACATTTCGATGTGCTAATTTAACTCCTTGACAGACCCTAGTGTTCTGTTTATATAATGTCATTAATGTTACTCTTAAGTATGGATTATTTTATCACGTTTTTTCCGTTTTCGTCTTGTATCAGTGGATGAGAAATCTACTGCTTTATTTTATGTCGTAGTTTATATTCGTTCGAACACTTCCAACTGACCGTTTCTCACCAACCGTAACTTTAATGTTTAGTGTTTATCACTGCTTTAATAGTTTTCATTGTATGTTTTGCAACTTGAACCGATACATGATTAACATCAAGTCATACACTTATGTACACAGATTTACGGAAATTCAAGTCTTCTTATTTTATTTAACCTCAGTTATTTTGCTTCAAGTGAAAGTGACATTTGGATACTGTGCTTTTAATCCAACTGTAATTCATTTTATGTTCTGACTGAATTTTCCAGTTAACTTTGTAACACACCATTTATTTATATATGTTATAGGATGTTATCAGCCCTGATAACTCATTTATTTTACTTTACGGACGATTTCGTTCACAAGGACCGAAAATACGCTCGTTGATGACACTTTTAGAAGAAAGAATACACGTTACTGATGAGTAGGTTTTATAGATAACATTGTATTTATCAACATTTCTAATAATTGTCCATTTTTATCCCAGTTAAAATTATTTCTCTTTGTTTTTGTTATTACTGTTGAAAAAGCTGTGTTTAACTTTATAAATTACTAGTATCGATAAATCGTTATATTTATGGTATAGATTCATCAGACCAGCATAATAAAGCCTCTGCTGATATGTTGATGACTACTCAGGAGTAGATTTTTACAGCATTTTATTGGTGAGAAACATGCATAAACTATTGTTTGTTGCTCTACAGGTGTGAAACTTGGACAATAAAATGGAAAACAAGAATAAACTCCAAGGATTTGATCTAACGTTTTCTCTTGGCATTACTCGCATATAGTAGAACCTCCGAGTGAGCAATGCTAAAATCAGAAGCCGGGTTCTTTTTTGAGTGCGGAACTTCATTGATGAGACTATGAACTTTCGTCAATTGAGGTGGTTCCGATATTCATTTTAGATCCTCCGTCTACCGCTATGTACAATGCTGTTTGATATTGGAGGAAGTTGTAATAAAGCTAGTGGTCAGTAGATCAAAACATGGAGTCAATTAACTAAGTCATCAACTGCTGTCATACTGTAAAGTGAATTTGTTATCTGAAACCCACGCAGCAATCTTAATCTATGGTTAGCGATGTTAGGTGATATGGCTTAGAATCAGTTGTATTCATTCTACGTACTTTATATGTATCATTACTTTTACTTATTATGAAATTTCTAAATTAATAACAACTACCCGTGTTAGTTAACTGAAAAAATGTAAATTTATGGGTACTAGTTTTCATGCGTTCTTGAAATCCCACCACATTCGAGCATATAAAAAGTCCATATACCATCCGACAAATTAATGCAGATGTGTATTATGTGATAACCTATGAATTATGGCCATTTTACAGATGTTCAAGTTCATAAAAATTATTATCTCTAACTAGGATCTTTTATTTTCACTGTCCTCTGTTAATAACCTTTCGCTTTCAGTTGGTTTTTGCTTACCATTTAATGCTTCACTTATTTACTTCAATCCTAAGGACACTATATATGTTTTGCAAAATGGTTCTATATCTGTACCAGTTTCTCAATATGATGAATCCCAATTAGCCACGGCTGCTTTAAGGGAAGGAGTTATGAATGGATCATCAGCTACAATACCCAGTTATTTCATAAAATATTCACGGTCGGGTATCAAGATGAATTAAACCAGGATGTTTTTGAATTTTATGATAACCGAAGTCCTTGAATTCTGATTTATCAATAAGTCATTAACGCTGATCATTATGTACATTTTTTTAAAACTTTGTAATTTATTTCTTAAGGATAAACTACACTGGTGAGCAAAGACCTAATTGAGTAGGGTTCTAGTGACATACACAACTAACCTTTTCCAATCACTAATGACATGTAGCCGGATTTTAAGGAGTAATTTAATAATTTAATAGATTATTTAGATCTCTTGGTTGCTGGTGGTTAACTCTATGATATTGTAAATTTATGTTCATACAGTAAGTTGTTGATTAGCTAATGTCTGACTGTTAATTATTCCAAATAAGTCATATTAGAGTAAACATTTTCAGGTTTCATTTTTACTTTTTTGGCGTTTAATAAATCCTCACCTGTCGTCTTTGTGTTTTTGCGTCGTGCGATTCATGGTTTCAGGTATAAGTACTAGTGTTTTACAATAAACCATATACAATTTCAGTGATCTGCATTTAACAGTTTGTTAGTGAGATTTTATTTTCTTAATCGGATCACGAAAACTCATATTTTATCATAAAATAATTTTAACTTTGGTTACCCGACGGAAACACTTGACTAGAATGTATCGATCGTTACTAGAGTGTCAAGACCAGTGATCTTTCATAGAGTTCTTCTAAACGTTTATTCAGATTGGTATTTTTTTGTTAAGACTAGTTGAATAAATTGTGGTAGTATTAAAATTATAAAATTATTTGGTGGTTTACCGTCAGTTGTACCAATTAGTTTGAAATTACCATTTCAGGTATGCTCAGGTAATTCAAGAGTGTCATAAATTTTACTTACATCATCGAGAAGAGTTATTGACACCTGTTGCACAAAATGGAGTTTCAGATCTACTTCAAAAATATACTGGTGATCATTGTACACTACTTCGCACTGCTGGAACATTCATATTACATATGTGTGAAGATGAAATGCGTTTGTTTAATCAATTCTTTTCATCAAACTTTTCACAATCAATTAAGTAAGCTTTATATACCTATGTTTTTATCATCTGAATTTCATGAATTAATTTGGTTCTATCTTGGATAATTAGTGGTAAAGATTTTCGAAATTATAAAATATTTTCACATAGATTAAAACTTGATTAATAGGTGGTGATAACGTATGTAAACGTCTTGGGTTTTAGGATGTAAACAATCGTTAATTTTTGGTATCAATAACGAATACTTGTGTTCCCAATAGTTTAGCATATCAAGACAAAATATCGCTTTTTAACATCATCGACTGAAAATAAAAATCTATAAAAAGGGCTTTTGGTATGTTAATCCTCGTCGTGCAGTATTACTTCTATATTAGCAAAACCACTTTTCTCTTTCTTAATGTCGACACCTCTCGATAGACAAATGTAAACATTTGTTAATTCAGTCCTGTGGAAGAGTTATAATTAACGTGACATCTAATGAAATAGTTATTGAATTACTAAAGGTCTCGCCTAATTTATTGATGATTTCGTTTATTCATTTAGTTCTGTAAACAAAGTTCATTAATAAAAAAACTATATATATAGAATTAGATCTTTTGTCCATAGGTTTTGATGTCGATGTCAAAAACAGATGAAGTTTAAGCTTTTTTGACGTATTCTTCTTTATCCATGATTACTGTGGTGCGTCCTTTGACATAGGACAGATGAAGTTTCAATGAGGCCCAAAAATCTACCAGTACGATTAGACTTTGGATGATTGTATTGATGTATTTACAATAGTTAATCTATGTCAGTCTTAGAAACTCAATTAATTGAAAGTATATAGCTCATACACCATGACTTAACCATTCTTCTATGCTAAACAATGTTTATCATTGGACAATTTTGATTGTTAGATATCAACAGCTATTAATGACATCATACTTAGTTAGATATAAGTATTGCGTTCTGTAATATTGGAAAGTGGTGAGATGTGCTTAATTTTATACACTAATAACAATTATACTGAATTTAGTTCCCACTTTTTACCAACATAATCTTACATTTTATTTTATTTTCTCTCAAAAAATTTTAATTCCTAGTCAAATGTTGTCTAAATTATGTCGATGTTTGTATGATGCTGTTAGACCTTTAATAATTCATATCAATCACGTTGAAATATTATCTGAACTTTGTGATATATTGAAAGATGAATTACTTCAACAAGATGATCCTAAAAAGACAACTAATTGTAAGCATATTTAAAATAATTAAGACATTTCTTGATATCATTCTATATTTTTATACTTAACGTTGTAGTCTATTGCCTTAAATTATGTGTTCATCATGATATAACTAGTTTTCAATGTCCTAAGTTTGACACCTCCATATTGACGTGATATTTTAATATTTTCACTTCGATTAACCTGAATCCTTTTATAATAAATACATATGAACGTTCCAGTGAAGAAAACGTTTTCCCAATGATATCATTTTCCAGAGCTGTACAGTCGTATTTATGGTTATTTTTTACATTTAATGGCCTGTAATGAAAATGGATAGTCATTACGTCATTAACAGACGTACTGAAAGTTAATCACAATTTCAAGTTACGTAGTAAGTATGAAATACCATATAGAAACAAGGCATGAAAGATTATTTACTTAACAGTTGTAAGGAAGATTGAAATATTGGACGAACAAGTGTCAAAGTAAGATACAGGACAGATATATGGAAAATAATTGTCCACTTGAAATATATATTAAGACGAAGAAACTAAACTAAACAGTTCTCAAGAAATAATTGACAAAATACGAAGGTATTAGGACCATGATGAACTAAGGCGATGAATACACTGCTTCATCACACAGAGATCAGGCTTAAATTGATGAATCTCCGAAGCATCCATCATGTACAAGTTTCTTATCCGGTCTTCCTTTAAATCAGTTCGTCTTACTTTGTGAATAATTTCTAATGAATATTCAGGTAGAAATAAAGTGCTAGAATTGACTAGATGTTCAGCAGTTAAGCTATTGACTCACCTTTCGATAACTGTGATGGATACTGTTGGAAAGATCCCGCTTTGTGTGGTCAACATAGTAAGCTGCACAAGAGAAAGTGAACTGGTAGATGTACACTGAAGTAGTTAAAAGTGATAGTCTACCTTTGAAACACCCTCGTTTTAGGCATCTGCTGAAAAACACTATTCTAACTTCAGTTGGATATTAATCCTTTATTTTTATTATTGACCATTATATTTTAAAATTCGCTATAAATACGATTGTACAAGTCTAGAAAATAATATTGTCGAAAAGAAAATTTTCTTCATTGCAACATCTTCATTTCGCTTAATAACTTAGTGGACGAAATCGCGTGTGAAGCAACGTTTTTCTACACTAATTCATGAGAAGTAATAGTAATTACTCAAAATTCATATTTATAACGGATTCACCTAACTATTGGATATTATTTTTCAAAGAATAAAATTTATCCACTAGCTGGTATGCTTTTATCTAAAGTCTTTTTCAATCTTTTAACACTAAAATCGTAATCTTTATGAGTATAACAATGTCGTTTCAGAGTCTGTGGTAATATTCTAACCCAAAAACAAAGTTACCTTTAAAAATCCCATCACCAAAAAAATTTACCCAAAGTTGAAAGACTATTGTAACAAATAAAAAAAACAGTGAAAACTTACATAGCTGCAATGGTGACGTGGTCCGAGACCGTCGAAAATTTAATCGACAAAGCGCTTCTTCAAAATAACTGAATTCAAATAAAACTACAATAAGTACCATGAGTCAGAAAATATTACGCTGTTGTGTTAAACATTAACTACAGCAGGTAATGGGAAATCAATGTAGTATCCAGGACAATCATAATATCGCATACATTTGAATTAAAGCAGAATAGGAAAGTAAAACTTTATTACAGACGGAAAGGCTAACTGAAATATATAAATAATCATATGAACTGATAGGATCATTGATCTGTTACTTGAAATTAATACGAACCATCAATTTGTACAATGGAATATTGCTGAGACTACTTTCGATTGACAAGTAGTATAGTTTAACACATGGAAATCAAAATGCATTGGAGCTTGAAAAGATATTGTCAGATTCCACGTTAACTATGGTTTAAACAATAGTAATCCAATCTCTGAAGGTAGAAAAGTGATCTAATGTAAGGTGTTGGCATTTTGAAAATCAAATATATTCGTGTATGACTACTTTTGTAACTTTATGCTTAGTGCTACTTAACATCTGTTAACGTCTAACAGTTTAGTTATTTTAACCTACAGTAATATTTCCATACTGTTCATCTTATGTATATAGATGGAAATTTTTAGTAATTCTTTCGTCATAACCGAGTACATAAGCCTTCACTGGAAAAAAATGATTTAAAGTTAATCAAATCTTGTTGGCAACAAATTCGTTATCAATTACATTCAAATGATCTTATAGTTATGCTTTTTATTTGTTATGGATCAAATATATTTATTCATTTCGTACTTTTAACTTAAAGCACCAGATATGATGGCATTTACTGACCTCTGTGGAATGTTGTTGGCTGATATTCAAGAAAGATTAATATTTCGTGCATATATATATATTAAATCACAAATTTTTGGTTTTGTTCCAAGTCCTGGAGATCTTTCTTACCCTGAAAAATTGGAAATGATGAACGTAAGGAAACTATATCTGATTATATATATATATATATATATATATATATATATATATATATATATATATATATATATATATATATATAATCCAGCTGATGTTTTATATAGTCTTTTTTAAGTGTTTTCAAACGTTCAACGAGTCATTTAAACTGAGTATACTTAGGACATAAATAAAGTCATTGATAAATTTGCTATAACATTGTATGTTTGAAGGTAGTTGATGGAAACCCTCAAAACCTTATTTTTATGCTCTTTAGGCTCGCCAGTAACGTATATGTGTTTCTTGTCTTAGATAGTTTTATTTAATGTAGAATACTAAATTTTATCTCATTTATCAGTGCTTCGAAAAGAGATCTATGCTAAAAATCACTTTCTTCCATCTCAGCTTATTTATATCTGCCAAATATAAACCACGGTAACTAAGTAAATCATAGACATAATTTGTATTTTTCCACTAAAGTATACTGGATGATCAAAATTACATATCTGATGGTAATACGTTTTATTATACCTTATAATATCACTTAGGAGTTAAAATCCATTCATTTAAACTCTCCACATTTATTATCGTTCAGTTAGGTACTCATTAACATTTAATTAATCTCACTAATGATCTGTCTGAATATATGTCTATAACTTGACTGGATCGTATAACACCATTTTTCTTTCTTTGAGTTGATTTGTATTATTATTCTTTCTTATTTATCCATTGAGGTATTGTCCCATCTACTTGTTACATACGTCATTTGTCCATTGGATTCGTATATTTAGCTGATCTAAAACTAATGCTCAAATAATCGTAACAGTGATTCTGTGGAATAACTTTATAGCTCTATCCATTCCTATCTATTGTAATATTTAGTAATTATTATCCATTGTCAAGCATCCTATTTCCATTTTTTTATTTATCGGATTTGTAGGACATAGCAAAAAGTATCTCGATGCCTATTGATTCAAACAATTCACCGGATAAAGAAAAGGAGCATGAAAACTCTGAGGAAATTGTCGCAGAAAGTGATTCTTCCGAGTCCAATTTACAGAATAAATCTACTACTTCTGATTTGGCAATTCAACCTGGACCTAATATGTCTTTAGCTCCAGCAGATTTACATGGTATGTGGTATCCAACAGTACGTCGTACTTTGGTATGTCTCTCAAAACTCAATCGTTGCCTAGATGTAAGTTTATACTTTTTCTCAAGCAACTACTCGAAATATATTATGGAAATAGAAACCAATATATTTATCATATAAAAATTAACAATGCCTGTCGATACGCATTAGAATGTAAGTCCACTGGATGAATTCATCAGGGCAACTGATATCATTGATTGGAGGTGCAAATTTCAATGATCTAAGGCTGGTTCGGGAAGTTGATGTAGCGGTTTAGAGTTTAAATTTAATCAATTATTCAGTCATAAACAACGTGTAACCCGATATATTTATTCATCGGTTAGTTTTGCCACACCACATTAGAAAAGCGAAATAAAATTATCAATATAAATCCCATAGTAGTAGGAGTAGTAACAGTATCAGTAATAGTTGAAAAGGAAAGAAAAAAGGTATAAGGATATTTTGGAACTTTGGTTCTAAATTGAAACAAAGAGTAAATGCACCTGCACTGTTGCAAATGGTTCTGAACCATGTCACATAAAGTCTCTAACCAATGGCTGTGATAATCATTTCCCCGACCCTATTAATATGGCTCAGTCTAGTTTGTAATGACTTCAAGAACTAGCGCCTGACAGCTAAGCTTAACTATTCAGCGCTTAAATTCATTGTCCAGACCATGATTTTTACGCGTTTGAGAGCCTAATATTCTGAAAGCAAACTCAAAACTATATATGTACTGAATGCTACTTGTGCTGCTAGATATAAGCATTACGTAGCAGCGATCGGAAGTAGTATGCCTGCCAGCAGAAGATTGAAGAGAAGAGAACAGAAAAGGAAATAGAGCGCAATTAAAATAACAGAGTTGGAAGAATGTATCAACTGATGAAAGATTTCCAAATAATGTATCTTATGTGTTTTCGTACTTTATAAAGGCACTTTGTCATTTTTCGTTAAACTCAATGTATCAAGAAATCCTTAAAACATTTTTGTTTCTATAATTATGACAATGATATGTCAGGTTGTCATAGAACACTCAAATTTTAAACAATCTAGACCAATGGATTACCGAACTTTGTCTCCATTTTAGTTATCTCTCAGTTTTTCTATGTATGGCAATTTTGATATTACCAGGTAGTGAGGTTCAAGCCCAAAACCTACTGCTTGATAACCGAATAATTTAATCACTAAGGCATTTTCTCACTGTTTGCTTTTGTGTTGTCGTGTTCAATCATGTATACTTTCATACACACATGTATGTTGTCTTATTTATTGTGGCATACACATATTCACTTTCAGGCTGATTCGTTTCGTGGTTTAGCCCAAGAATGTGTATCCATGTGCGTTCAGTCATTAGTTAAAGCAAGTGATTCAATTAGTCTCCGTCGGACAACCATTGATGGTCAATTATTTCTTATCAAACATTTGTTAATACTTCGTGAACAAATGTTACCATTTGGCATTGAATTTTTAGTTAAAGAAACTAGCCTAGATTTTTCTCCATATAAAAGTAAGCTATCCTGTGTAATTATATTTTATGTATTTTGTTTTTACGTTGTATTATACTTTATCGCGATTATTGTGTTCTACTCTTAGGATGATGAACCAATTTTTTTTTTAATTGCGAGCCAATATTTTGAACAGATTGCTTAAAATCCCGTCTCGTACATATACCAGAATCTATAGGAATCCGAATCTATAACCATAGTATATGCGTTCAGATGAAATTCGTGACACCTCTGTTCTCCCCAGGCCGTATATGACTTAATAAACAACTTTATTAATGTTTTCACATCCCTTATTCGTTTGGCATTTTCCAAATTTCTCCGTTCATGTTCTTCACTCCCGAACTATTTACACACTTATTAGGTAATTTTAATAATATTTTTTGATTATTATTCTAAGAATATTTGTCTAATTTTGACTTACTTCCTATGCTGAACTATTAACTATTACACTCGGTATTGTTTGTTTGTATCTTCCCATCGTTGTTTAGGACTGAAATTGATCAGTCTCGTATCGGTATATGTGCGTCCTATGCGGACTGCCTCGATACTGCCACAATTTTTATAAGCGAAGATGGATGGTGGCTAACAGTGGAATCCAGAACTCTTGTTCCGTCCTATTTGAGACTCGTCATCTGGATTTACCTGCATCCTAGAGTTGATCTTCACTCCGGTACTCAAACCCAGTACCATCCGATTCAAACGCCTTTGTGTTATCCACTTAACTACTGAGCCCTGATAGCCACCTGCTTGTGCAATGGAGTGAAGTTTAAATTCACTTGATATTGTTTGCCTGTATCTTTCGATTGATGTTTAGGACTCCTAGCCACCATCCATCGTTGCTTATAAAGCTTATTGATTAGTACTTTTATTTTTTTATATTCTTATCAGTTCTAGTACACCCGTCCTCCTACCATCATTTTGCACTTTTTACCTATCGTGTGTGATCGTTGACTCATAAATTACATTGATTGGTTTAATATTATCATATAAATATTCATGTAATTCAGAGTAAGACCTGATGACAATGTTGTTCGTTTATATGTGTTGTTCCAATCTCAATTTAGTTAAACATAGCAATTCATCATCTGACAATATGATTGAATGTTTCCTAATATTATTTAGTGATCCGTAGGCCATTAGTGGGTGATATAGCTCGGAAGCAGTTTCAATGTTGCCGATCCACGTATGCATAAACTTTTGTCTGTCGTTAATTTATGTTGTCATGATGGACGTTGGTTATCTCAATCAGCGGTAGCCGGTATTTGAAGAAGAATCTAGAATCTTCTTATGTAAAAGTTAAAAATATACTAACTTTTTTGTGTTGCGATTCCTACTGTTGGTCCTTCTCGACTCCGTGGCTGGGGTCCGAGAGATGGTGCAACACAGTGGCTAGAGACATTATCAGATATGGCTCAGAATAGAAGCCAGTAGTGATTCTGCTGTAACCTCCTTTTACTTTCTTCATAAAAAGTGGTTATATCTTCCTTAACTGAAAGATTTCTTCTGGTTGTACCTTTCCGTTTCCCCCATTATTATTATTATTATTATTATTATTATTATTATTATTATTATTATTATTATTATTATTATTATTATTATTATTATTATTATTACACTGCCTTACACTAATCCGTGGTCGTTATTGTTCTCCTTTTTTCTTTTACGCTCCTTATCTTCTTTTTTTCTCTTCTCATTCTCATTGTTTTATGTGGCGCATATGTATTTGGTGCCCCCTTGTACCAATATTTATGTGTACAAATGAATAATAAATAATAATAAACTTCCATCTAACCTTGTTTATTTGGAATATAATTACATTACTGTTCAACCATGTTCTAATTTGGGGACTTGTTGAGTGAAGTAGTTTTCAAGAATACTAAGCAATAAGAGTAGTTGGGTCGTAATTAGAGAATCTATAATAGTCGATAAAGTTGCAATGTAGCCATTAAATTAAGTGAATCTACGTCCCATCCACTTTGCCTTAATATCACTTGGTTCGAAGTAGTCGAGAGGATATACTGGACACATGTTTCGTGCTTGTTGACACTTGTCAGTAAGATATTTCTGGAAATCTAGAGCAATCTAATGCTTCTTGTTGGAATTGAGAGAGATCTTACTCATGTAAAATTGTATATCTATCAAATAATCCAACGAATCGTATAATTTATTTAAGTTTATATATATTTTTGTTGTATATTGTTTTACAGATGTAGCACGTAGTATTTGGGAGCAAAAAGGAACTGGGTTATTCTCATTAAATAAAGAAAATGCATTATTACGATTTCTATTAGAAACTCCAAACGCTATTGATATTGAATTGGATTCTAGACGTCAGTTAGATAGTCAATTAAAATATACTTGTGAACTACTTATTGAACAACAAGTTTTACAATTAACCGGCGAAATGTCAAATTTTCTTAAGCGGGTCTGTAATATTAGATTATTATTATTATTATTACTAATTTTGTATTACTGTGACGTCACGTTAATTTTTTTTCAATTTCGGGAAAAACACCTCACATACACATCAGTAATTTCATACAACTTGATCTTTTGATAAATTCAAAGCACGAATAATAAAATTTGCAGAATAAAATGAATCCATTCCATTTCACTGCTTCTCATCAGATAAAAACAGTTTAAGGTTACAAGAATTAGAATTAAAGGGTTAGTATACTTTGATTAGTGAAATTGATACCTGGTTCTTTGAAATAGATCCGAAATCGTGATAAATATATAAAACAATGCAATATACAGTATTCAACAACGATGTCATCCAACTTGAAATGGTTTGAATTATCCCATTGTTGATGATATTTTTGATTGAAATTCAATCAGTCTTGCTTGGCATATCTGCATCCTGTCCAGATTACTTAAATAGACCTATTACGACACAAGTTGATATAAATTAGATGGAATATAGCTAGAAGTGGAATCCTGGACGCACGTTTTGTCCTGGAATATAGGCACATTCAACCGACTATTCCCAAATAGGACGAAACACTTGTCATGGATAACACTGATGAGTATTTATATGTCGCAAAAAAAGATAACTAATCAAGTAATAAAGTAGGCATAGTTACGAAAAATAACAATAGAATGTAATCAGGGATTATATAGTCATAATAGAAATAATAGGCAATAACATAATTGATTAGCATAGTAAAAGTCAAGGTTAAGTTAATTTAGTAGCATCAATAAGATTGTGTAATAAGTAAAATTATTTGATTACAGTTCTCTGTATCATGATAACAAGAGGTTTATCATAATTTCTTTCTGTACGTTGAGGTTAGATTTCGAAATCTTTCATGAAGATTACATATACGTATACATGTAAATTCAGAAACTCAACTGAAAGCGATGTTACATAGTTTACTTTTGAATGGTTTAGTGAGGATTTAGTTTTGTGTATTGAAATCAATTAAGCCTTAGAAAAGCTCTGTTTTATAGCTGCATCAATTTCGGCTGGAACCTCACCCCCCCCTAATGCAAGACGGACAAATATAGGCTATTTGGTAACTATAATTGTTTACAATCGTTAAGCATATAATTTCCTATATTTCATAACAAATTTCCGAAGGTATATATTTTCTATTAAACTTTTTAAAATGCTTATCGTATTCATGTTTTATTGCAAACTTTATGTTTTCATAAGGATTGTTGAAATTACAGACCATATTATCACAGCTAATAAAAATATTATCGACATACCTGGAATTGGGTTCTGACCCAACAACCAGTTATACAAACAAACCTATGAAACGGTTATAGGATAATCACTATGAACTGTCTTGACCGAGTTCTGTTTAATCAAGATTTTTCTATTGTTATATGTTGTAATGTATGGATAAGTGATGTAACTTCTCTTTTTTGAAGAACCCCAGAAATATGTTTTTCAGTGTATTTGCTTGAAATATATCAAATAAATGACTAAATAGTTTAAAAATTATCCAGCGCATTATGCTATTTCATGGTTTCGATTGACTCCTACTAAACAAATGGTCTAATAGATGAATAACTTAAATCGAGAGATAGGATTTAACTTAAACTTAAACCTATATATTGTGACTTATGTCACTGCTACTATCCACCGACTGACTTGTCTGCGCTCTAGTTGGTTCAAACATGCTGTAGTTACTTTTTTTATTGGGTCACCAAATTCTGTAAAATCATTTCCTCATCTCATAGAACATTCTGTGAATAATTTCCGAATTTTTTCTATGACAATTTTTAGGCTCATTCAATTCTAGCCGCTCCAGGTGCACGTCTTGCTGACCAACCGTTCGCAAATCCATCATACATAAAGGAAATAGTTTCGAATGCGCACCGATCACTCTGTATAGCACTTGGTCGTAGTTCTAGTTCAAATCGTCCTGATACAGTAAAACACCATACTGTGCCAAATTTACGAAACTGTCTACATATTTATCTAGCTAATCCAGATACAGAAAATATCTTATTACGTCGTATTCAGTCAGGTATTATATCACAATGGAGATCTATGTATCAATTGGTAACTGATCATTATAATGATGAAGATCGTATAATAATCGGTTGTCCAACAGAAAGTCAAGTAAATCATTCTTTTATTTAAATTTCTAGCGAACTAACATGCCAGTTGTATAGGAAAAATAGCATTATTATTGAATCGATCTACATATTTGTACTGTTTAGCTGAATTTTATGTGAGTTAGACTTTCTCAATATACCATCTAAATGTTCTGTTCTAATATAACGTCCTCCTTTCGAAACTCAGTAACCTGACTCAAAGTCTACATTAAACTGAAAGTTCCTAGTCACAGTAGCTTGTCTATCCATCACAAATCTAGGTAAAAATCCATTAGAATGAGGGTTAGTACGATGTGATTTGGATACTGAAAATAAAGCCTCAACATTGTAACCTAGCGGTTCAAAGTTGGATCTTCTAAAAATTAAGCCACTATTTAACTTTATTTCATTTTGTTTATTTGAATAAACTGAAAAGTTAACAGATGTGGGCTAGTTTACATTCTTGTGAACAGATGAAGCTTAATGATTGTTGAATAATATCTAGATCGGTAATTTGATTTTTTAGAAAACCTACTGAAAACAGTGGCATTACTCGCAGCTATTTACAATTATGTTTTTTCTGTGAACACGAAGGTACTTAAATTGTCAATACCCTTAACTGTGCAGTTTATAATTCTTAGCGAGTGCACTAAAAAAGTTAAGGATTAATTGTACACTTCAATGTAACGTTTTGTCATCTTGTGCAACCTTCACTACACACAACACACTTATGCACTTTTAGTAATGATAACATGAAATACTACTTATTTTCAGCATAGAGTTGTGGAGATTGTTGAGTTTTAATTGAGATCATGAACCTCCTCAGCAGGTTGAAACGGTCGTCTAGTGATTCCATGTTTTTAATGGTGGTCTAATATTAATTAATTCATAATCTCAACTACTATTTGTTTGTGTTCATGAATAAAAAATACCCTCTTAATGTAATGAATCACATTATTATCGTCTTAAAGGAATGTAGTTATCCAATTTACCGCATATTGATAATCCTATTTATTTATTAAACTCAATTACTTTCGTAGTTTTAATTAATTATTGATGTAATTTCATATACAAGTCTCTTGAAGTCACTTACTAGTGAGCAGATGATTATTATCAGAAGGGGTTTGTGGAGATTTTAGAAATTTCACAAGTTGAAATCATGAGTCATTTGAAGCTAGACCACCATGTAAAACCTGGACGCACTGGACGGCCGTTTCGTCCTAGTATTGGACTCTTCAGCAGTGCGCATCTACGATCCCGCACCCAGCGAAATTTGAACCCAGCACCTATCAGTCTCACGCCAGGCGCTTATATATAGACGTATGACAAGGTCTTCCGTTTATTTAGATTTCAAACGTTACTGAGTTTAATGTAATTAATAACACATCTGTGAATGAGATTTAGCTATTCAATCTTCGTTCGTTTGTAATTGTAGTGTTATCAAAGATGTTGTAGACAGACAGCATCTGACTAAGCGCTTGGCGCGAGACTGATAGGTCCTGGGTTCGAATCTTTCGGGGTGCGGGATCGTGGATGCGCACTGCTGAGGAGTCCCATACTAGGACGAAACGGCCGTCCAGTGCGTCCAGGTTTTACATTGTGGTCTAGCTTCAATTGACTCATGATTTCAACTTGTGAAATTTCTAAAATCTCCACAAACCCCTTCTGATAATTATTTTTATGACGAGCTGCATTATTACCTTTTATTCATCAGATCAAATTAGATTGTGCAGGTTCTCAATGTACCATTTAATGATTCACTTTCAAATGTTTTAACTACTGAATAGAATCATATATATATATATATATATATATATATATATATATATATATATATATATATATTTAAAAATATGAAAAAAGGGTAATAATTTTCTTTCAACAATTCTCTTATTCTCTTTTATAGATTCGACTTATATTTCAAGATATTTGGAATCGTCCAGTTCTTTCATCATAAATTAACTTTTTTTTTCATGTATGTATACAGTTTAATTTTTTTTTAAATTTCACTTGGTAGTTGATTATTTTTCTTTTATAAAAAATGTAAAATAAATAAAAAAAATTTATAATTCAATCATTTTATTTCTGAACGATAACAATTATATTAAAAATACATGTCGATAGAAATAAGAATAATTTTATGTTATAGAGTGATGTGAATAGAATAAATCAATTACTATTATTACTGATATTGATTTGAGAATGGAAAATGCTGGTCAGCAGCCTATGCTCCATTGGGAGTAACAGGTGTACGTAAGTGATTTGAAAAAGATGTGATGGTATCTATGATCACATTTTTCTGTTTGTTTTGCTCTCTCTCTCTCTCTGCCTCACTTGCTCACTATTTTTCAAAATAAATTTCATCAGAACCATTATCAATAGACTGAAGTTGATCTTCTATCATATATTGTCATTATAATGAGTTTATATGTAGATAAAATAAAAATAGATTACTCGTCAACGTTTATGATAATTAGGTAATTTACTTAAAGAATAATTTTTTCTTTAATTGATTAATGAAACACAATATATAATATTGACTATTGTTGAAAGTAAAAAGGTAAAAAAAACAAACAATTTCTTAACTTTTAATTTTAAGACAAAAGTTACTTTTTATGTCAATGAAATAAATAAAATATGTATTTGTTAACATTATGATTCGTTAGTTGTATCCATTTGTCTTCTACTATCATTATACATAATAGTAGTAATAGTATTACCCATTTTAATATTGAAACATTTTTTTTAAAGAATGAAATAGTGAATTTTGTATAAAATAATAAAGATATTGTCTAACTGAATAATATAAAGTCATATTGAAAAATAAACTTTTTGTTTTATCAAGAAAACAATAGAACTATTAAAATTGTTCATTAAATTTATGTCACTTTGTCATCTATCTACATTAGAACAATATAAACAACAATGATAAACATCTAGATTTGGTTGGGTTTTTTTTTAAAGAATTTCCATTATTTTCTTCAATCAATCTGTTTGTTTGTTTTACAGAAAGAGAAATAAATAATAATTAAATTATTTATTGATGATTAAAAATATATTTTTGATTAAAATAATCAATTTTATATATTTATAACTTTCTGATTAGTATAATTTAAAGTGTCAAAAGGAAGCATTTGTCTTGCAACTTTCTATCATAAGTTTTCATCTTTATTCATTAAAAATACTCCATCAGCTATTTTATCATATTAAATATTCAGAAAAATTCAAGTTACTTATGCTATATCTAACCATAGATTTATTCATTTATCACAAAGAAGTCCTTATTTCTATTAACCTATTCTACAAACTGGTTGACGTGCTGAAAAGATATCTCATACTATTGTGAAGATCACTTGTTATTAGCTATAAATCATTTATCTTCCTATTTTCCCCCGTTAAACTTCGCTTAACGCTTATTTTTTCTAGGTATTCTTGTGGATCCTACTCTTTCTTGGTTGAATCTTTTTGTTATCTAATTGATATATATGATTTTCTTGGATAAAGGATTTCAGAAAATAAGGTATACTACGAACTTTGAACAGAAGTTATGAAACCGTTGTATTATCTTGGCTCGATCAACTAGTGAACTGTTGGTATAAGTCAGGATTGCATCTACAATTTTCTTTATTATAAAAACTATCAGTTACTTGTTAAAAATGGCTTGCTGATTTAGAAAACCACAACATAGGGTTATCTAAATGCTACTCGTGTAAATATTTATAACAAATAATTTATGGTTGATAGCAAAGATTATATTCAACAAAAGTATATTTTTAAAGTTCAGACCCAATTATTCAATTACTTTGTCACAGATTAACACATGTAACAAAAAGTTGTCCCCAACGTATCATAGGTTAGCGGCAAATGATAATTAAATAGAAAACACGTATACCTACACAAATAAAACATTTATGTATAACAAGTTATAGATGGTTTATTTTTTTATAAAATAATGGTACTTTAACAAGGTCAGGATTCGTAAAAGTATTTTACGATTCATTAAAATGCTTTTATCATTGATAAATTACCCACCGTAATAAAGCTATATATGAGTGGAAAGGATAAAAGATTTCACAAACTTGAAGCGGTCAATAAACCAGTTCCTCAAAAAGTTATTAGCGGAAACAGTGTTATTTAAAAAAGTTGAGACTGAAAAGATGTGCTTGAAATAATTGTAACTGTTTGCACACAAACTGAACAGAAAGGGCTAACTCCAGGAAAGATTTTATATTCTACTCATGAAGAAAATGACCCCCACACAAGAAGTTACACTGATGCTGTACAAAGTGTCACAGAAAGCACTTATAAGATGGAAAACGGACAGTTCTGAATAATCAAAATATCCTTCAAAACAAAGAAGGAAAGGATTATAATGAATTTCATCCTTGCTCTATACACCCACCAGTGATGGCAACGAAGATTATAAAGACTCGCCTATGAGAGTCTAGTTTTGTTTTCTATCTTCCTGCTTGTCGCTGAATGGATTACGAAGACCACCACATCCCAGGAGAAACATTAAGTATTGGAATTAGCGGGTAAACAACCTCTTCACATAACAATTAATCAGGTCGAAAAGTCAGTTAACCAGTAGCCTCCGCATCAGTGGGCCTTAATACACACAAGAGAAAGATCAAGATCCCCAAATCCAACTTGTTAAGCGCAAGCCATATTAAAATTGGTAACTGCTCTGGAAGAGGTGGAAGTCTTAGGTTACTTAGAAAGTATCACTGACAACCAACGAATATCTAATGCAAATATAACGGCACGAATTGGCAAAGCAAATGCAGCATTCCTACAATTGAACATCTGGAACTAAAAAATTGTCACTCGAGAGCAAGGTCAGAATTTTTAGCACTTATGTTAAAACAACTCTAATTTAAAAAGATGAAATTTCCAGAACTACCATCACCAGAAGTGCACAATTTTTATAAACAGCTGTCTGCACGTGATACACTACAAGTATTAGCTAAGCATCATCAACAAAAACCTGTGGCAAAGAAAAATCTCTCTTCCAGTTGATAAAATTAGGGATAGATTCTGTAGGTGGATAGGACACGCATTACGAAAATCGTCAAACTGAATCACAAGGCAAGTCCTAACTTAGGATAACTAAGCAAAAAGAATCAGAACACCAAATGCATGGTGCTGGGGATGGGAGACAAACATCAAGAGCATAAATAGTACTTGGGAACAGACGGAAAGGAAAGAGAAGCTTGGAGATACCTGATCGTTGGCTTGTGCTGCAAGATCGGTTGTAGGTTTAACTAAGTAGTATTTCACCGATCTATTTCAGTAGACCCCATACGTACAAATTAAACGCTAAGATAAATAGCCTTTTTTATATCCTGATGAATTTTACGAATACGTTTTTAGGGTTACGATAAATGCGCCGAATTTACCTTAAAAATTTTAATAAATGACTTCCTGTCGTAATGATTTTTAAGATATTTTATTTGTGATTCGACTAAGGATCCATTTGAGAGTCTTCGTAAAATATCTTAGAAGCTATTACTTTTCATTCAAAAGTTAGTAATATATCTCTGAATCATTATTTTTACTAACTTTCATCGCTCGATTTTAAGTTATCTATGTTTAAGTGATCAGTAATGCTACATAATAACGTAGTTTTTAATATCCGAGTTTAAAACCACGGCAAACACCATTTGAGAATAAACATATCTTTCGTCCTATTCTATCATTATTATGATCCATTAATTGTCTAACTGTCCTGTTAATAAATTATTAGTCTGCTCAAAATAGTAAACTTCGTTCTGACGCAGAGAGAAAACCAAATAATATACAAAAGTGAAACAAATAAATAGTGTAGAAAATACTGGTGAACATATGCTTACTATTACAATTGATTATAAGCTATATCATATCGTCTCATTGACCTAAGCCATTGAAGTTAAAACTATGACCGATGACTTGGTATAGCTAATGATTATGCGTTATAATATGTACTTCTACTGTGGTTAAACAATATACTGTTTTCAGTATCATCTCATAATCATGAATGATCTATTCTGTCGACCTTTTTGAATGATGTTATCCATGCCACAATTAACAACTGACCCTCAAATGTTAGACAGATCCTAAAGACATGATACCTTATCTGTGTGGAATTGTCCTCTGTTATCAACCTTCTGTTTATTTTTCACGCCAATAAAATGATTGTAAACTGAATTCCTACGTAGTATAACAAACGATTGTTTAATGCAATGAAATATCACGTATGTCACAAACGATATAAATTAACAGAGATATCTACTCCGGCACTTTATTGTGATTATACTTTCAGAAATATATATGACTCCAAATAAAACATTTTAATTCAACCTACCTTTTATGTGCATGAAAATCAATATTTTCTTCAAAATTTCCATATTTATTCCATACACGATTGTGCTCAAACGATGGTAAAAGTTCTGCATTTGATTCATAACCCATCAAACATAAGTCATTATTTCTATTTATTAGATTCGCTTTAACTGATGGATCATGATGAAATAATGAAAACGATTGCGATGGGCTTGATGAAGCACTTGTTGAAAATGATGTTTTGTATTTTAATGCTATCTCTTCTCTATCTAGTTTATTGTCTTCTTTGTCACCAAGTATTTTTCCTCTGAATTAATTTATTACAATGAAATATACATGTAACATACGCTTTATGTTTTTTTGTTCATTGTAAGTAATAATAAGATGAGAATGTGGAAGACTAACGACCTTAGATTTTTTAGTTTGAAGTTATGATTTTCATTGTTGTTTCACACTATTTGGTGAAGCAACGAAAGCCATGGTGTGCTAGAGATTGTGCTTGCCGAATCCAATTCAAGTATTGCAGTGTGTGTTTTTAATCAATCGAATTATAATTCACTAACTAATTCGAAATATCCCATAATTATCATTAGCGATATCTATTTCACTATTGATTTAGCCAAATTGCACTGGCGTGGGTTTCTAGTGATTATTTTCAAGACAAGGCAAGACTATTATTTGATGATACATAGCTTTCCGTCTGACTTTCTGTGAAGGGAAGAAACTTTTCAGAAGTGAAGTTCCTGTGTTACACTTATACATATGAAAGAGTAATCGTGGTATGCAAAAAAGGACAGTAAAACACATAGTCAAATAAGTACGATCTCATATAGAAATTCCGCTAATCTGACAAGAGTATGTGGTTAAAATCCATCTCCGTCCATTGCTAAATTAAATATAGAAACTTTTCACAAAGGACTTTTGTGTCAGCATATAACAATTGCCAAAAAATTGGTGAAACCCTAATCATACGACATTTTAAACTAGACTTATATTTTCGAAAGCAGTTCATGATTACATGATTTCTATCTTGGTAATACTAATTTTAATTTTCAATATTAGAAAGGCATTCGATAATTGGTTCAATCTTCTTATTTTTGTTTCCTATATAAATATTCTGGCAAATTAATTTGTGATAAGATTATCGATAATCAATTTAAACTATTGTAATTGGAATGCTGAAAACGATTGTGTTTATCTTCAGGAAACGTATACTGTTTTGAAGTACATAAAAGAACTATAGATTGTGGAGTTTCAATTGTCCATCTTATGAAATCTTAACGGTCTGCTTTTCTTAGTTTTGTTTAGCTTAGACCTATTTGTTAATTGTTTTCAGTTGCTATTTTATCTAAACTGTTTATAATTGAAATGAAGTTAAATTTTTTGGAAATAAATGAAATAAGTTCTTATGATGAATGATGATGAAAAGTAATAACGAAACATACTTATTTGTAGAAGATAGAATTTTTGTAGATTCCTCATTTAGTTTATGATCGTCCGGCCATAACCTTTGCGTTTGAATATTGTAAATTGATGAGTTTAAACAACTAGAATTATTGATTTTACGGATAGTGTTTTTTGCTAGATAAAACAAAAAATGTACAAATGTTTGTAATTCAAACACCGAGAAATTGAATGATAATTCAAAGTTGCGGTTTCTGTCGCTAATTTGGGCAAATACTTTCACACAAGTTCAGTCACATTAAAATAGTTTAATAACAAATTTTCTTGACGGACATAACCACCACATCATTTACAGCTGCCAAAGCTCACATAATACCCTTAGGACACAAACTCTGTACCCGATAGAACAAGCATCCTCTAATGTTGGTGTTTATTTAATTGCCATAGTGGAGGCAATACCGACTGGAATGAGTTCTTACTAGAAGTAATTTGCGAACTCAGGCTAGAACATTTAAATAAATCTCGAAAACTTTTACTGAAAAAAACTATTCTAAATGGCCCATAATGACAAATCACTTGACTGGAATTACTTACCAATTCTATGTAAACTATAATTTGTTTCTGGACGGTATAACAATTCGGCATAAAGTTATGAAAAAACGACAAATAGATCTATTAGAGGTTTATTTGATTAGCTAGGATTTCAAGTTGTCTCTATAGCCTTTCGATCACTGTCAATCTGTTACATGAAGACTCAATTTAAGTGTGTCGGTTCCCTACTTTAAACTTCTTACGTAGTTTACACAAAGACAACAAAACATAGATACTTTTACTTATATGAAAGTTTTAGTTGCTTTCGGTCATTATAACTTATACCACCACTGACAAGCAAAATCTTGGAGTTAGTAGGCGACATCCAAGGTTTGAAATGAACTTATTACCAGTATTTATATTTACCGAGAATGTTGTAAAAGTACTTTAAGATGAACATCAGTCAGTTTACTGCTCCAGCCATTCAGACTACTCTATCCTGTGTTCTATGTCAGACAAGTTTCGATTCATCTGATTACGTGAATATCAAGGTTTGAATTAAGATGCTACTACTTTATTCTCAGATTCTGGAAAGATTCGGTTGAATATTAATGACGGAGTAACTTGAATTGTTCAAACGTTAGACACACTGAGTGTCTGATCTCGTAATACATCCATCTCCAAAAGATCTGTACAATAAATGTAATACTTTTTGAAATTTAAGATTGCGACTATTGGAGCAGAAAATATTATATATTATGATCACACTATCTCTCTAATGTTAAAAGTCTGAAAGTGGATTTTCAAGCTATGTAAATATTTATTATATCAACCATCATTAGACCTGTCATCGTTTTATTTCCTGACACCAGAGATGCTTTGTATTTTTAGACTAAATTGTGCTAAAAAACCGTCTATCTGGAAAATTTATTTGAACCTTAAAAATAGGTTACATATGTGCCTCAAAACAGTAATGACATTCGGTTGTCTCTCTTTAGTGTGTGATTTTAACCATAAGGTTGTCGGTTTAAAATCATTCACTTATTGGTAAGAAATATTTGTCTTCTCTATACGTAACAAAGTAAAGTAGAGTAAGAACTTCCATTGAATCCTACGTGGACTGAAAACTATCGACTAAAATCTCTAACTAATGACGAATGCCACTTTTACAAAACATCCTGACGGGAAATGTCAAAAGGTAAGAGCTTTGATTGTTAATAAAGCAAATACATTTTTAGAATGAATTAAATATACTTCATATACGCATGAATCTGGAAACTGTAACTAAGAATGTATTTGTATTCCTAGAACATATTACCAGATACTCTAATTATTTATATGAAGCTAGAATTAATCACAGAATAAATTATGATGTAATTTAAAGTGTTGCGTTTAAATTAATGATTATATTTCCTTTCTTTATTATCAATCAGTAGGAAATAGAGTAATTATTAAAATTTCATGGATAATGGTGTACTATCGTTATGATTCATTAGTAGAAAACATATTACTGAATAAAAAATGGATTAAATTTTCAGGTGTATAATAATGATAATAAACTTACTAAATTGGAATAGCAACTCTTGTATCAATTCCCACATTATATAAAGTGAACGAATATTTTTCTCTTTCGTCTTGATTACAACAGACTAAAATTATGAATCATAAACATTGAAATATCAACATTCACATTGAAAAATTCGATAATAAATGACTCAGTCATCTTAAACATACACTTTTGAATGACTCAGTCGTCTTAAACATACACTTTTTCACTTCTGAATGTTGTATGTTATGTTCTCAAACTTCCGTTAATTTAAAGAACTCAGTCAGAACAATATTGACAGGATAAAGTGATGAATTTATTTTGTTTCTTTTACTTACACTAATTACATACATTAAAATGTAATGAATAAAGTGTAAAAAAACACTCTAAAGTTGTTTACCAACTAGTTTGACACTTCCTATCAGTTCAAACACACGATTAACTCGGTATTAAATGAAAAACATGGTATTTTCGAGCTACTAGAATAGCATAGAATGTTTCCTTTAGTCAGCTTATAATATAACACTAACCTAATTCCATATCAAATCTAAAACATTAAAAGTTTGTAACTGTAATAGTTACAGTAGAACATGACCACCATGATAGATATTTAACTGATTGTTATCTTTTGTGTCGACGTATTATCAAATCAGTACTGTTCTTTTTTAGTCTATATTTCTATCAATTTAATAGTTTAACTTAGTGATCTCACCTTTATCGTTCTAATTCACCTTATTCTTTTGATTTTTTCTAACATTTGTACCAGATATGATTGGCTCAACAATGATTATATATATATAAATATATATATATATATATATATATATATATATATATATATATATATATATATATGTCAGTTATGAAATACAGGTTTGTTCACCCGTTTGTGTGAGTAGTAGCCATGCTATCATGAAGCTCAAACCAAATTAGTTAGTGGGAATCGCATCTGTGACTTACTGCTTGACATCCAAATGTATTAATCACTAAGCCATCATTTTAGAAAAGATATTTTTTCATTGTTTCGGTAGGATTTAAATCTATTGTTCGTTAGTTGCAACATAACAAAAAATTTTAACTGTAGATTTTCAGGGACATGGAATAAAATCAATCCAAGTGATTTGTCTGTGGCATGTTGATGAATAAAGATTATATTTATCGAATAATGTGAAATAAAAGTTTGGATTTTTGTTTACATTCATGTGTATCGTGAAGTGATTATTAGGCAAGTTGATAATCATCTTCAGCACATAGATTAAAATGAAGTTATAAATTTTTGCCGTTTCCATTGTGGTAAAATTGGTATATAATAATAATAATAATAATAATAATAATAATAATAATAATAATAATAATAATAATAATGGTAGTTTAATAAAACAGTTCAAGTTTTAAAAATGTAGTCACAATTTACCTTGACTAAATCTTTTGGTTTATTTCGAATAGTTAAATTCACTTCATAATATTTGCATAAATTAGTAAGATTGAAATTTTCAAGCCATTCACCTTGTAATATATCCACATCGAATATTAATACAACAGGTAATAAATTCTATGAATGGCAAAATATGATATTCATACATTTATAAATATATATCATTTTGCAAAATGAAGGATTAAAAAATATTTGTTAGGTGATCCATGGGTAAAATTATTCAAATGTATATCTATCCAAAGAACAGAAATCTCTCATAGCTGCTGATTATCATTTACATCATTTGTTTAACAATATAGTGTTAGTATTCAGATAGTAAACTTTACTTGGAATCCTGAATGGACACAGAAAAGAGGAAGGCCGAATAACACACTATGTCGGTAATCGCATGTAGATGTGAGAAGGATCGGTAGAAACTGGAAAGGATTGTCTATGAAAGAGTTAGATGGTGAATACTGGTGGGTGGCCTATGCTTCTCCACGAGGCGTAACAGGAGTAAGTAAGTACGTAATTTATATTGCACCCCTTCTGCTTAATACAATGTGGTAATAGCATTAAATTATGTAAATAACTTGTTTTTCTCTTTTCATAGTCCATTACAATTCTGTCATTTTTAAATTATACCTTTAAGAAAGATTATTTTATTGTTCTGAATGATAAAACTATGGTCTTGGTTATTATATGTAACTATCAATTCAATTATTCAAATAAATAGTCTCAAAACTTTATTAGTTCAAAAATACTTGAGAAGTCGAGTTCATGTTTTCTCCAATTCAATGAAATTAGTTTAATTTTCAGTGTGAAATTTTGACATTCGTTTTGATACTTTGCGTAACATTTTAGTTGGTAATTTGTTTATTTTATATACTTCAGCTTGACATTATTTCAGGTTAATATATGATAATTTTTACAATCTCATATTTGAGACGCATGACCCGGAGACTTCAAATAATTATCTTTTTCAAACTAATAAACATTCAAAAGAATCATACCGACAATTAGTAACCCGTTGTAACTAATTTGTTTACTTTACCGACTAACACCGAAATTGTTATGTCCTAAATTTATACAGTTATCGAGAAATACGATTGCAAATTTAGATACGACCCAACTAACTACACATACACCAGTACAAGCCTTCAATTGACTCATGATTTCAATCAGTGAAATTTCTAAAATCTCCACGAAACCCCTTCTGATAATAATCGTCTGCTCACTAGTGACTGACGTCGAGAGACATTTCCTGGAGTTCTTGCAAGAAGCCGTTACCAGTGGAGTTCAACCACGTCTCCTGTGAGATATCAGCTCACTGAAGACAATAGTGTACGGTGGCGCAACTTCCTGGATTGGTTGAAGTTAGACACTAACACCGCTGGACATTGGCTCAGTGGTCTAGTTTGTTAAGAGCCTGGCGCGAGACTGATAGGTGCTGGGTTCGAATCTCGCGGGGGTGGGATCGGGGATGCGCGCCGCTGAGGAGTCCCATGATAGGACAGAACGTCCATCCGGTGCTTCCAGATTTTCCATGGTGTTCTAGCTTCAATTGACTCATGATTTCAATCTGTGAAATTTCTAAAATCTCCACAAAACCCATTCTGATAATATGTTTCTACCAGTCAAGTGTGAATTTCATTCAGTATGATAGGTGTAAACTTTCAACTAGTATGACAATGATATTCTTCGTGTTTTTTCTTTTCATCGTCGCTATTACAATGGTTCCTGATTATCAAGGACACAAAAGAGGTCACATAGACCATATAATTTCAAAGTACCCTTTTCAACAACTTAGTTTTTTGAAAAAATTTACATCCTGATAATCCAGTATGTTGTTATTTAAAAGTGATTTTCAACAGTAACTGAAATATTTTTAGAAACCAAGCACAAAAAAAACAACTAGAAATCACTGAAAATCTATTTTGTTCTGTTCCGTGATTTTTTAGCTGGTTAAGCCAAAATTCAATGTATGATTAAAATTCATAACGATATTCTCAGATAAATTGAAAGTCATTTATTCCTATTTCCAACCATAGTTAATTTATAATTCAGAACTGATAGAACAAAAAATTCAATGGTCCATAACCCTATTTGTCTTCATTAATTTATCTAATTAATCATAAATAATAAATTAACTTTTAAATTATAATTTATTTCAATAATTGAGATCATCAGCAAATTGAAACTAAATCCTGAAACCACTGGACGGATGTTTCTTCCTGTTGTTGAACTCTTCAGTAGTGCTCATCCACAATCCTGCCTCACAAGATTCAAACCCAAGACCTATCAATCTCGCACGCGAACTCTTAACCCCTAGATTAATTATCCTTTAGAAATGATCTTAGTAAATCATTTTTATAGTAATGATTACTTAAATGATATTTATTATTACTTACTGTTATCAATTGTCTAGCTAAAAATACATTATCTACATTACCATATATATGAATATGATTTAATTTTCTATTAATATATTGATTAAATAAATGATTGTTTAAATTTAATTTATTCAGTGTTAAATGTTGATTTATATTTAAAAAATTAGAAAAATAATCAATAGAATTGAATTGATTATGTAATAAAATTGTTTGTGATAATGATGATGATGATGATGATGGTGATAAATAAGAATTTTTCACTGATGTAGTAGAAGAGATCAAATTAATATTTGCACCAGTTGTTTCATAAATTAATTTGACTAAATTGTCGGATGAAATTTGACTATTTAACATTGAAGAATATTTTGTATCCATGCTCATATACATGTTTACTGGTATAGAATCCTTTTTTTATAAAAAAAAAGAAATGTATACAAGAAAGATAATAATCAAAATAAAAGATTATTATATACAGTTAATCATAAAATATCATTAAGGAGATGATTAATAAAATTAAACAAGAATCGTAAAAAGCAAAATGAAATTCCTTCCAGTCTTTAATCTTTAAATTAATTTCTCAGTTAATTTACTTAGTAAAACTTAGTAACTGTTCCTACAGTTTTCTCAAGTAAACGAACCACTTCCCTTATTCAAATTTAAATTTGACTATTTTTAATTCAGAATAACATATATAAAATTGCTTCTGTGGAGAAAGCTATATTGGGTGCACTACCAGACAACGAAGTCAAAGAATTAGTGAACACTTTCCTTCATGGTTAGGAAAAGGTACTGTCAAGACGATACGCAACTCGGTTCTATTACACTTTACCGATAGTAGTCGTGTAGTAGACAGAAATAGGTCATTTAAAGGTATTTCTCGTATTCCTACTAGTTTTCATTATGGGGTTCGACCTGATCTCTTACACATAGCAGAAGCTATAGGAATTCTAACTAACAATACAACCTGGGTAACCTGCCTGAATGTCTGGGCTACCTGTTCCTGCCATCTAGATATTTCAACAAGCTATCCGTTTCCTTGTTTGTTATAACAGATCATTATGTCAATTAAACTGTAAAACCTATTTAGGTGCGTTTGTGAAAAGTCTACGACATTTCGCTGCACAAGTTACAAAAGTTTACAATCAGATATATCGTGATGGCTGGCAGTATGCATTGAAAAGAATGAATGTTATTCAGATGACTTCTGAAATACAGACATCTAACTGGTGATCACTCGACATTTATCGTCAATATCAATCAAGAAATAAGAAACGGAAACTCGTTGAAATACTTTGTGCTGAGAATTCTATATTGTACCAAAAATATAATATTGAATAAAGCTAATAATAGCAGTAATGATGTCTCTGTGTTCATAAGAAATTAGTAACACCTTTATCTCTCTCTTGGCATTAGTAAATGATTTTATTTATTATTAATTTCCATACTCTTTATTCGTTTATTTTCTTTCACCCCATCCCACACTTCTTTTCGCAAATATATATATATATATATATATATATATATGTATATATATATATATATATATATATATATATATATATATATATATATATCGATATACTCTTCACTGTCCAATTATCTGTACACTTCTTATAATTTTTCGGAATGTTATTTCAATGTCTATATTTTTTAATCATTGACCTATTTGTTATTATTTAACATTGATCCAAGCTTTTATTATTCTTACACTTGGCATCACACTACCAATTTCTACTTTTCACTTATTATGTTTAGTTATGTAATTTTTACAACTGTTATCATTGACTCATAAACTGTTTTAATAATTTCGTATATGTATATAGATATTACTGTAAAACCTGATGAAGATCTAATCGAAAATAATATTGTTCGCTTATATATGTTGTTCTAAATTACAATATGAGGACTGATGTATGTATGTACGAAGTTCTACGTTGTTACCGACTGACTGACTAACTTAAGAATTGAAGGTTGAATGTAAATATTTTATGAGTTGACTATTTCAATTATTAAACACGACGAAATTATTTCTTAAAAACAGACATCTGAATTCTTAATATTTCATCTTCTTGTTCAATAAATTGAAATTCAGCCTTTACGTAACGCAACAGAAACAACATCTTGTTGCGTTACCTCTCTCTTTTTTTTACTACTAGTCTAAAAAAATATAGTTTTAGATTCTGTTATGACTTAATTGTCTTCTACTTTTTCATAGGACTTTAAAATGCATAAATTTATTAAATATTTGTACTTCAAAGAGTTCAAAATAATCATAATAACTTACAATGATAAAAAACACTTACCATATTCTGAGTAAAGTATTTCTTAATTAACATATGTACAACACTTTTAGTCTTTTTTGCATTGATTGTTAATCCTTTAACACTGACAGTTGTCTTACTATAAGGTGTTAATGCATAGTGATTACGAAATATAATTTCAACATCATAAGCATTTTGGATTTGTTGAATAACCGGTGAATTCTGATTTATACGTAAATCTTCATTGTTTAAATAAGGTATTTCGAATGTAAATGTAATTGGAAGGGTATCCTGAAGAGAAATTGTTTAAAAAATAACGATCAATGTACACTTCATCAGTTTTTAATCCAGAATTAAGATTCAGAACTACATTCTACATAGAGTTATTAGAGAGAATAAAAGTGAAAGTGACTTATCCAATATATTTTCTTGATTGTATAGTGACTAATTAAGTTGAAGGTGATGTTCTTAACTATTTGCCATCATCGATTTGGGTCTCCGTTAACACTTCGATTTATAGTCTACTCTGATTTTGTGTATACAGATCTCCAGATAATTCGACCACTGACGACGATTATATTTTTGAAGCGAAAGACGTAATAGGAGACGTTAGATACCCTGAAGTAAAATGGACTACTCACAGAGGTCAGTTATGTAATGAAGAAATCTTAGCAATACTAGACGTCAAATACTGATCTCAGTGGGTTTATGCACTAACAAGACATAAAAAATCCACCTAGTTTTCTGTCGAGATATTATCCCATTAACTGTACAAGTTAATAAAAAACTTTAACATATTGACCATAAAATGATTACCTGTGCTGTTACTATTATTACTAAAGTCTCCAATAGTCTTTTTTCGTTACAAAAACTAGTCAATATCGGATCTAATAATGTGTAGACTGAGACTTCTAGGGTAATCTGTTAAGATGTTCAGATTCGAAAAAATTTCCGAGCAATAGTCTCAAAAATACACTGGATATATTTTATTAAATCAATAGCTCATACTTAAATCCTAGTACACTTGTGAAAGCATATAGGACTATTAAGCTTAATGGTTTATGTATGTCAGTAAAGTATGGCAAGGAACTAATCTAATTTATCCAAATCGTAAAATCTATAAGTTTAAAGTCATCATTGAATAGCATCCAGTAATTGATTGTAGTTCAAACGTATAGATCTTAGTTCTTATTATCGATAGACGCTTTAGAGCACCTTAAAATGCTGATATCTCCTGCTTCTTGTATATGAACTCATTTATAAATGATAATAAACTAACGCTAATCTTTTCAGTTGTGTTATTTTTGGCCAGAAACAAACTTTTAATTAATATTAGATTAGTAGTCGCACACATAACCTGTAACTCTATACAATCTATATCTTTTACTTATACTCAAATTATTAAAACTATGATCTTAATATTGCCTTTAAAAACCATACACCAGCGGTTATATATAACTCCACTAATGAAAGTATAACAATACTAGGCTTGATTACGTTTATTAATGAGTATTTTTACTAAACTTCCTTTGTCGCTGATATTTTACCCTTAAACAATCCTTGATTAGTTTAAATAAAGTATATTCAACTTAGCAGATCACGAAACAATTACACGTATATACGATGACACAGCTATCACATTGATTTTACCGTTTTTATCCTTTACTTTCCGTTCAGATTTTCTCTTCACTAGATGTAAATGATTATAAATACTCTTTAACAACACTGTGATCATTCGTCAGTACATTAGCCATGCCTCTTAAGGATTTCCTAATCCTCCTTTTTAAAAAATACTCGTTCTTAACTATCGCTTCACATTTTTATGATAAATCCCTGATATAAATGTCCTTTCAAAACAATTTATAAGCAATGTCATTTCAAGTAATTTACTCATGTATCTATGTTAATTACATGTTAAATATCTTTCTGTATTATCCTGATCATTGTTGCAAATCGACATGACTTATGCAATCATTCTCATAATATAAACTACTTATTACATAAATCTATCATGGATGGAATTATCACTGAGATTATAGGTTTATTATTTGCTTTTCTATTATAAGATTTCATATATCTTAGAGGTATTTTTACTAAAAATCTACTGAATAGCTGATAAGATAAATAACATTTCTTACAGTTCGTTGAACTCCGCCTGGAGTCCCTTTGGGGGCTACTGCTGATCTCAAGCCCGGATAAAGGAGGAGGGTTGGGCATGGGTTTAGTAACCCCATCCCGTAGAAAACTAACTCGATAAAAAACGCTACAATTCGTTGATTGATTGACACCATTATTTTCTAATAACTTGAATAAGTTAAAGATAGTTTAAACACAGTATTTAATTAAATTAAAAATTAACCTTGAAAAAGCATATAAAAATAACCAAATTAGTTATAAGTATCATATTCTTTATAAAAAAAATGTAAACAATTCAACATACTCGAATTATTCTTCTAGCTTTCTCAACATTCTCTAACTGACCAGATATTGAAACTTGATTACTTTTAATTATTGAATTATTACGATTTGAATCTGGAAAATGTATACGACATTGAGTAATCATCATGATTGTTTTAATATTCCAACCATAACGACCAATTATATGACTATGATTTGTATGCGATACATCAATTTTTAATGTTACATGTCTATTTATTTTATTTAAATCATCATTATAATTTGAGAATAATGTACCGCTTCCTTTTAATGAAATAAAATTTACAAATCAAGATTTAAGAATAAATATATTTCATATATAAAACTATCATAATTAAATTAAATCTTATTAATAGTTCATTGTAAATAGAAAGTTGGCCATATTAAGAATTTAAATCATCCTTTGAAATCGTTAACTATACCAAATGGTTTTCAATGGTGATCTAACATCAATCGGTTCATGATCTCAATCAAAAAAATTAATAATTTCCACAACCCAATACTATATCAGAATGCACAGAATTTCTACTATCAGTTCCTCAAATAACCATGTCTGAGACGGAGGACTTTAAATGATTTGTTTCAAAATCACTGGATATATATTTCTTCTTTTCTTTCGTCAGAGTTTGTGACGTAATCTTCCAAAACGTTATTTTCATAACTTCATTTTTTTAAAAATTATGACAACTTGGTTTATTATGACTATTCATGATTATTTTAAAATCAAGTTATTTTGTTAAGTATTAGCAATATATAATATTCTTTCTTGAAACCAATAAATCAACTAGTGGTAAATGTAGCCTGATAAATAGGAATCATGCAATTTCTGCGTTTATTTGGTGTGCTAATCTGCATATTTCGAGGATATTTATCAAAACTGGTATTTAATATTCCCAATTGTAAACTTTTTCTGTCCTATTATTTACTGTCCTATATCCTACCATTTAGAAACTAATAAATACGTAATCATAAATAAGTCATTCAGTTTTCTACCGAACGTGAATTAGTTATACAATCGCTATTGTTTAAAAGATTATGGAAGACTGTAATATGACATTTTACTTGTATTTGAACTTCTGTTGTTCGAATCAAAGGTTTTCATAGCCTGCTTGTTGTATGCGAAATCAAAATGTTTATGCGTTTATAAGTTATGAACGTAGAGGTATTAGATAGACTATATCAAAATTTTGTAACGTGTTTTGATAGTTATTAGTCAATATATTATCTTCAGAAATATTATCCTTGAATAGAAAAATTATAATTAGTTTTAACTTCAAGTTTACACTAATTACAAATCATATGAAAGTTAGATCACAACAGTTTCATTTTATTTCAAAATGCCTTAACTACTTACTTGGTCGTCTCTATAATCAAACCCTATCTGTTAATGAATGCATTTCATTCTGTTCTTGCCTATGACACAATATACCTTCTTATGTCGTTATTAAATTCATAGTACAATCGATAGATCACGTGAATTTTCACTTTTTTAAATCTCTAGTTAGAAGATTAGAAGTACCCTTTATTATTCAGCTATAACTAATAACAGTAAAAAAAACGAAGTGGGAGGCTATAGGACACTACAATGATAAAATCATTATTTATATAGGTAGGATGCTTTTTATGCATTGATGATTAGCTCATTTATAATTAGTCAACTGAAATTTAGGGCTATTTAAAGCTGGAACACCATGGAAAACCTTGAAGCACTGAACGGCCATTTCGTCGTAGTATGAGACTCCTCAGCAGTGAGCATCCACGATTATGCGCGTGGGATTCGAAATGAGGACCTATGGATCTCTCCCGCGAACATTTAACCTCTAGACCACTGAGCCGGCGTCCAATGATGTTAATGTTCAACTTTAACCAATCCACGAACAATTAATACACGACATAGTTTTCCATCGGGACTATATATATAAGTTTAATAATAAATGATTCATTAAATAAGAGCTAACCATTTTTAATATTTTTTCTTTTCTCAACTATTTTTAACAGTTGCCATTTTGTAATTTCATTGAAAAATAATTAATCTTTTTCTTATAGCAATAATAAATTCATTTATATGGATTAAGAAGAAGTTTTATCAAGAAATAAATAATGTTTCTAAGATACTTGATCATAATTCTATGTTAAGTGATCATTTGTGTTACTTACCTAAAGTTACATTAGGTTGATTAAAATATTTCGATAAAATTATATCACTTGAAATCCTATTTGAATTTAATAAACTCATCCTTATTTCTAATAGTTTCCCTTTGATCTGTGGAAAAGTAAATCTTATGCATATATATATATATATACATATATATATAATCTCAAATAGATTTTAAATTATTGAATCAATAATATATCGATCAACTTTACATATTTATTACAATTCCCTTTAATTTAAATTTATACAAATCGTGGGAATAATGATAAATATTAATCGAATGTTTTAAATAAACGTATGTTATTTTTTGTAAAAATCAATATCTATTATATTGATTGATGTACGCTTTTATTTTCCCCAACCGTAATAGCATAATGTAAAATACTTTTATTTGATTTATAGTAGTACATATCATAACATGAAGATGCTAATAATAAGCTGATATTGACAAAATGTTTTAATAACATAAACTATCTAAGTAAATCAGTTAAAAATTCACGATTATTATTATTATTATTATTATAGTTACTTTAATCATTGACAGTAGTTTACTGAGAAAAACAGTCGATGAATAAGCTCAATTTTAATTTTGTACAAAAATAAAATATACTAAGAGTCTTATGAAGAAAAAAAAATTGTAACTCAAAAAGAAGTCATAAAGAAAATTAATGAGTTAATTTTGGTTAATCACTAAACATACATAATAAGTGATATAAAAACTTTTCATCTTCCAATCTTGTTCAATTCTTTTGAAATATATCATCTATGTTTTTGGTGTTTTGGTACTATTACACTTGATTAATTTCTTTTCAATTTAATGATATGATGTTTGATTATTTAATTCGAAAATATAGTTTAAATGAGAATCTCATTCAGACGAACCAGTTGTACAATCAAATGTCATTCAATAAATAATACTGTTTTAATATTGACAGACAGACCACGGGCTTGGGTGTCTGGTTTAAAATACCCAACATATAACAATAAAAGAGAATCTCTTATTATGCTAATTAAAATAAGAAGATAATATTTATGCTTCTAATGAAATAGTGGGATATCAGTTACTTTAATGACTTTATTATAGTAATGCCAAATAATATAAACAAATATAGAAATAAACTCGAAAACAAGATTTCACTTTGACTCCTATAATAAGGGGAAACAATATCCTTGTGTTAATTAGTGTATAAAGTAAAGTAATGAAAAATTATGTTTAATACATGCAAGACTGAGTTCATATTTTGATGGAGTTTTGTTCTCTGAGCTGGATGGTTTGGTTTTGGAGGTAGCATAGTTCTTCTGAACGAAATCATCAGCACAAACTTCAGATAGAAGTGAAGTGTTCGAATTTCTCCACATGTGGTTCACAGCTTGTCCTGTACACCTAGATGTTAATTGGTTCTTGTTGACCTTAAATCTACCGTTGTTTACTTCTTTGTTTGGGTTGTTTCTCCCACCGGTTTGATTTTTCTTCCTATGTTTGTGCATAATTTTTTTGATAATCATAAAGTATTTTCCTTCATTTTTTCGTGCTGTGTGTACAAGGCAAGCTGTGAACCATATGTGGAAAAATTAGAACATTTCACTTCTATCTGAAGTTTGTGCTGATGGTGTCGTTCAGAGGAACGGTGAAAGTTCCGCGGCCAAACCATCCAGGTCAAAGAACAAAACTCCATCAAAATAATCCACCTCAGCTACAAATCTCCACTGACTTCATATCCTTTAGCTTTTACTGAATATTTACTTTAAAAGATTATGTTCCACAGAGTCAGTTTAAGAAAAATTAACTACCACTCATTACATTAGATTTATAGTTCTTGGATTAATATCACACAAAGCATCTAGAAATTTGTTTTAATTTGCATAATTTAAGACGTCACTATTTATGTAAAGTCTCAAACCTATAAAGAAAGTCAATGCATCGATCTGAAAATCACCATTCTTCATGTAATCGAAATAATTTTTTATGTTACATTAGTAAGCGATATTCACCATTCAGATTGGATGATGGTTGGAGGTAGTCAACAGGAAACCCTGCATCCGGGTTTCGTGCTACTTGGCACTCGTCATCAGAGTGTACCTGTAATCTCGAGGGAACTGATGCTCCTTGATGGATTCAATACCGTGTCACCCAGCTCCACAGTCAGAAACGTTACCACTGAGCTATCCGGGCCGCGACCGACCTCCTGTAGGACTGAGATGTATTCACAATTTATTGATCACTGGGTGGTGATCAGTGTCATGTGTGCCAAGTCCTTCTTAGTACAGATCGAATGCTATCGATCGGGTTACAATGTCCATTCAATTAACACCAGCGAGTTGGTAAATAGTTATTCACATCATGTTAATTAACCTGATCATCTTATTGAAGATAAATCTAACCAATGGCTTGACAAAGATATTAAGAATCAGTGTATTTGGATTATGGCTAATATATAAATTCGGAGTATTTATTTCGTTCTATTTTGGTACTCGTCAATGGGATAGGCCTGAATCCAAGTTTTATTGTTCACATTGAAATTCGACCTCATTACTAGTCACTTCAAATATCAACACGTTATCTTCTTAGCTAAAGAGAACAGTTTACAACAATTCAAATGTACCTCAAAGACTTTCAATTACAAGACGCCATGTATCTGAGTTTAACCGATTAAAGAATTTTGAATAAGTTCCTTTGGTGCTGCTTTTTTCAAAGATGTCAATACTCATTTTTTAACGATTGAACAATAGTTTTTTTATCAAATTGTCTAGAATTGATAAACATGACGAAAGAGGTTCTACCTGTTGTTGTTGAGTAAAGTAAAGAAATTAAATGAACAGAAACAATAAACATAGAAAAATAACCTGAATTCATTTTATTTCGTGGCTTCTCATCAGCTGTATACAACCCAAACATAATGGTGTTAACCATTAAAAATCAGTGCACATACTTTATATCATAATGTCAGAAATGTTCCTTTCAAGTTGCAAACGTACAAAAAATGTTAATATTGCCTATAAATTCTTAGCCTCGTTTTATGTGTCATCATTATTAACTTCAATCCCACTGGAAGAAACTATGGAAATTATACGTGATCATATTAACTTTCTTGAGATGGTGGAGATTTGTAGCTCAGGTGAATGATTTTGATGAAGTTTTGTTCTCTGAGCTGGATGGTTCGGTACACCATCTCAAAATCATATGAGCGCAATACACTTCTAGTTGTTCGAAAACGGCAGAATTTCGCCAAAAGGCAGACTTCCACTCGAAGAGTTCAGCAAGGAAAGTTTTCGTTTCGACAAGTTCATTTATTAAACCTGTACATTCGTATTTATAATTCAATTTTGTATTGTTTGTTTCAATCTTCCATCGACGTTTAGAAATCCACTTGAACAGTCTCTTATTAGCATATGTACATGTTGTGAGGATTGGCTCGATATTGCCTTAAGTCACAAGCATTATAAGCAAAGAAGGATGGTGGCTAGCAGTGGAATCCAAGATGCGCATTTCATTCCATTTAGGACTCGTCAGCTGGGTGTACCTGCGTTCACTCTAGGGCTCAAACGCAGTACTGTTCGCTCTAAACCCACCGCCTTATCCACTTAGCTACTAAGTCCAGATAGCCACCGCCTTGTGCCAGACTTTTCAACTGCAATCTTAAACATCAATGGGAAGCGTTGTATCCCAACGAGAATTATGAATGGTAACTTCTGAGAACTATTTATGGACCAATACGATACATATATTTTTTATAGAGAGCAGGAACAAAGATTGGTGCAGAATAATATGAATTTATTTTATTTCGTTAGGTTCTCATCAGCTGCTTACAACCTAAAATATTTGAAATTCAAAGTTAGATGAAGGATGAATATATGCAATATAATGTAGCAAAGATTTCGTTAGAGTTAGTGAGGTTATAAGAGTTTTTGTTTCGAATATATAGAGTTTGGGAGGAAAAGTTCCAGAAAATTGAGATAGTGATTAGAAATCATGGAATTAAAACACATTAGACGATTATGTAATGAAATAACTGAAAGTATATTAATGTTAATAGAGAGAGATATGAATTAAAATTGGTCAGTTATGAATGATGTAATAAAATTCAGAAAGAGTTAGAATGACGTAATAAAAATAAGTAAAAATAAAAGGGGATAGGGTGAATATTATCAGGGCAAAGAAAGATTTATTACTGTTTCTTTTTGTATAGAAAGATCTGGTTTTAAACGTTTGATTGCTATCGCTTCAGCAAATTTCAAAAGGTTTGGATTTGTTTGTTGATCACCTTGAAGGACTTCAGTAAATCGACTTCGTGTCCTGTGTCAAGGAGATGTCTTGCGACAGCGCTGCTGAATGCTTTCAGTCCATTTGATCTCAAACTCTTCGGAATATGTTCTTTGAATTGGACGTAGGTTCTCCTTTCTGTTCTACCAATGTAACTGCTTTGGCAGATACATGTAAATTTGTATACACAGTTGGTGGTAACATGAAAGGGATACCTGTCGACCTTTGATTGTGTCAAAGAACATGTTGTTTTGGGTGGGACAGTCAATTTAGCTGCAGGATATGTTTTTGTCAATGCAGTTTTTAGTCTCATATTGATTGACCCTGTGATATTATCGCCTTTGAATTTGAGTTGAATAAAAACAGGTTTTTTATTTACTGCAGTTTCTTTGGGTATTTTATCTTCACGTTTTCTACATTTCTCAATAAATTTCAATGGGTATCCGTTATTCCTTAAACACTTTTTAACATTTATAACTTCTTCTATTGTATCGGCGGTACATATTGTTTCTGTTCTGTGAAACAATGTTTTGACAAGTGCCTTTTTATAATTGATTGGACTAAAGCTGTTGTCACCATCAGTTAAGATAAATCCCATTCCATGTGTCTTTCTTATAAACTGAGCGTTGAACTTTACCATCCTTTCTTCGTTTCATCGCGATATTGAGAAAATGGAACTTGTTTTCTTTTTTATGTTCCAAAGTGAAATGAATATTTGGATGAGCTTCATTGAAACATTTTATCAGATTTGTTGCGTGTTGTTGATTATTACATACGATGAAGGTATCATCAATATACCTCGAATAATACATCATTTCAT